AGTATTTTTAAAATATTTAAGTGTAGTAGAGGTTAATATGGCTTATCATAACAGACATGCCAGTATATTTAGTTGTTTTGGAATTTTGTATTCTTGAGTGGTTCATAAGAATCTTTAAAGTTCTGTTTGCTTCTGGGACTTATACATAAATTAGTGTACATTTATGATTGTAATGAAGTTATAGTGATTTGTCTGTTGCATAAAGGACTTACTGTGACAGCTTTTAAATTTCTAAAATCTACAGGTATAAACAACAACGTTTACTAGGCTATTTGCTTTCTTTGCTTCTGGGTCTGAAATGTCCACATCTACTAAAATATGAGAAATATGACATTTAAGTTAAATTTTTCCATCTTGAGTTTAGTCATACTGTATTATTTTTGTCTTCTATCTGTATGTTGAGCTCCCATTAAATATTTTAACTTTTACTATTCAGTTATTACTTACTATTAAATTATTAAGTTACTACTTTTACTATTAAGTTACATTATCTCTATTTGTCATTTTAACCTGTGTTGTATTAAATGGCCTCCATTTTTGTATTAGTCTGTATTTGTGATCCATAATAATTACACTCATCTTGAGGAATCTGTACTTATCCGTAGCGTATCGTAGTCATTTTTACTTTCCCTTTCCGTCCCCCATTTTGCAGATTCTCATCCTCACAGTCTATCTCCCTGTTTCTTGGCATCTATCTTTTATTTTGCTTTTTAAATTACTCATGTTTTGGGTTTTTGTATAAGAGAAGCCATGTGATATTTAATCTTTGGTGTCTGATTTATTTCATTTGGCATTATGGATAATGACCTCCATATTCCCTAAAAGACTGTATCACCTTTCTGTTTTTTCGATATTGATTGGTTTAGTTCATTCTCTGTCTTAGCATTTTTATTAGAAGTGAGAGAAAGTGACTGCTTCCACCCTTCTCACTGCTTCTTTCAAAATAGGTAGACCACAGTTGCTTCTCTAGGGAATTTTCTCAAGGCGAAGCCTTAGAAATGAGGATGCTGTATCCTCTGCTTGCATTTTGGTCTTTTAGATTAAGGTCACTTAGTTGACAGTTCTGGTCTCCTAGGAAAGCTTGTCCTTCCCAGTGCATTAAAAATCACAGAAATAGGTTTCAGTTGATGTTTAGTTCATTGTTCCCTTTGAAGTGTCTTTCTTCTTGATTTACACTGGGAGGACTACTGGTTTAGGTCTAGTAGTCCATGTACTTTTGCAGAAATGTCGGAGATAATCCAGATTCTTAAAATGTTTCTTTAAATGCTGGATTGTTAATAGATGTTTTTATTGATATTTGAACAATAGGTAGATGGTTGCAAGTGACAGTAGTGGTCCTGTCCACATTTTCTAATTTCACATAATGACTTCAGTGATTGTTTTAAGACAAAGTGAATTTTCAGGTATGCCAAGCCATGTCTCTTTCCCTCCTCTTTGATGTCTTTCCTTATATTTCTTTCTTCCTAAGCTGAAAAGACAACGTGGAAACATTAAAGTTTTGCAGTAAGAACTTACTTACCCAAAACTCTTACTGTCTTAAACAACTGTTTTCAACCTGTAAACAACCATTATTTGTACTTGTGTATAGATGTTTTGTATGACTAAAAGAATATGTAATTAAAATTCACAGAAAGTTTTAACTCTTAACATTGAAAAAATAAATTCTGGGTCTGTTGAGAATATGCTATGGGACTAGGAAGGACAGAAAGAATATTAGGAACCTGACCATAATAAGTCTAACTGGCTTGTCTAAGTATAAGAAAAAAGTTGTTCAAATGATTTAGAAAGGAGTTTTAAGATACCTGAAATTTCCCTGATCATTTGCCTTTGGAGTTTGCAGTCTTTATGGATAGAGGAAGTTAAGTAATGACTACTATAGTTTTGCCTTTTTAATGCTGTAATAAAAATAATGGGATATAGATAGGAAAGATCATGCTTCAATTTCTTTTCCATCAGTCACTGGCTCTGTGGTCAGGACCACACACTATGCCTCTCTGAGCTTTAAAATTGTTAAATCACACACTACTGTAAGGATTAAGTTGAAAATCACGCAGTTGTCCATATTATCTATATAGCATGGATAGCTAACGTTGATATTTTTAAAATTTTTTAATTGCATCTTCTCTTTGTGACTCTGGCTGTCATTAATGTTATCAATGTCCCTTTGTATAAATGTTGGTGGTTTGACATATTGGGTGGGTTATGTATGACTCCAAGGTCTTCTGAGGAAACCTGCTCTGTAGTGCTTGTCTGAGGTCACTTGCTGGTAAGTAACAAGGCAGCGCTAATGTACTTTAATCTTTATGTACATGTCCTTTTTGATGTGTCACACCATAACCATTTAGCAAAATGTTGAGGGGATGGGAAGTAAGAATGATAAGGTTGTGACATGTATACATAAGTATGTACCAGTTCCACAGGATGACTGTAATTATTATGTATAGAAATTAGGTACCAACAATAAAGAGAAAAGGATTTTGAAGATTTTCCAATAAAGAAATGATGTTTGAGGAGCTATGTATGTTTAATTTAATTTAAATATTATACAGTGTCTTGGTTACTTTTCTCTTGTTGCTGATACAAAATACCTGATACCCAAAATTAAGGAAGGAAAGATTTATTTAGCTCACAGTTTATGGAGGCTTCAGTCTGTAATCGGCTGGCTCCAAGGCAGGGTGTCATGGTGAGGGGCAACAGTTCAAGGCAGCAGAAGCAGCAAGAGCAAAAGGAGAACAAGCCTCTTTTTCTCCCTTAAACTGCAAGCAGGCTATCCTACCCACTGGAGTGGCTGTATCATGTACACCATCTCCCTGCCCTCTTCCTGCAGAGGATGAGGAGGTTTACAAAGTGAGGACCCTGGCTGCCTGCTGAATTGCTTAATTAAACTTCTAAACGTCTCAAGTTGACACAGTGTGTCAGCTATTATACACGGTATATATACATGTATTAAAATAGTACATGATACCCATTAATAAGCACAACTTTTATTTTTATGTATGTTAAAAGTGAATAAAAATGTAAACCACTCCCCTGCCCCTCTCCAAAAATGGTTAGTTCTTGAGTGTGTGCCGAAAAGCACTTTAGAGGCAATTTTTTTAATCTTTCATTCCACATAAGGCCACAAAGTTAGAGGAACTGATGTTTGCTCTAGCAAATATTGACACCTAGACTCATCCCAAATAATACTGGTAAGACAGTGGTAAGTGTTGTACAATAGGAAATGACACGAAAGTAGGTCTTTCAGGGTGAGTAGAGGTTCTTCAGTAATAATGACGGCATTCCAGGCCTGGGAAACCGTATATGCCAGGCACAAAACATGCAGTGTAATGCTATTCAGAGGATGGAAAGAACTGTATAGTGTGGACGGCATAAGGAAGGGGGTGGAGAGTGAGCTCTGAGCCACTGTACTAGAACTAAGTTTGAATTTTTTAAAAGAGAGCAGCATTTTTATTTCTATTCCAGAGAAATGTTGAGAAAGTTATATAATGAGCAAAACCAGAAAGAACAGCAGAGTTAGTCAATATGAAATAATCATTTTTAAAACACAGAGATGGTACCCAGACATTCTCTTCCTGAAACTGGATCATTTTTAGGAAAGTGAGCAGTGCCTGCTCCAGTCCAGGTAGTTGGCAGATGCTTCAAAGGAGAATGAACTCTGCCACCTACATCAGAGATGTGTCATCATAATAAATAATTTGTTTGGTGAGGCAGCTGAGCCGTTCGCCAGGACTCAGCTCAGGAACTATTAAAATCCATTATTTTCTGAAGCTCTGGGGCTCTCTCACGTTCTAATATTCACTACTAATTTGGGTAAAGGTCTGCAGAGGTAAGTTTATACAAAGCACAAAAACTTCATATATATTTACAAAGTAGATATGTAAATATTATGTGCTTATATATGAATATTTCTCTTTAAGATGTAGGATCGTGATAGGAGACGCTGACCAGGGATCAGGCAAAAACCACTGAAGTAGGAGAATTGAAAGCACAGGGCTCATGTTATTCTTATTCTATTATTTTCTCATTATTTCCTGACTTTTCTCTCTACTGTAAGTGCTAGATGAGGAGTCAGAAAGTGAGGATTCTAGACCCAGCCTTATCACTTCCTGCCCTTCTGCCTCACCTCAGACAAGTGCCTTTATGTTTCTAGCCCAGTCTCCTGATCTCGCGAATGAAAGGATTGTCAAATGGGCTCTACAGGATCCATCAGAGCTGCTTCAAGGGCCACTGTGGAAGATGAAGGGAGGCCTTTGGCCAGCTTTCCCTTTCAAATAGCAGCTTTGCTTTTATTTGTAGGATTCAGGCTAGTACAAGATTTTGATGAAAGATCCTGTCACTTTTAAAAGTTTGGAAATCACTGAAATAGATGTTTCACACAGGCCTACCTGCCTCAGAAACAATTTCCACATCTGTACAGTGGAGATCACTATAGTTCCTTTGCTTAGGTTGTCCAGCGGTGAACAAGGCATTCCACGTAGAACAGAGCAGGCAGAACATAGGACGCAGTCATGTGTTACCTTCAGTCCCCCCCTGCTCCACATGGCCCACGCCAGTGAGGTTTTCAATTCCTAAAACTCTTGCACTTTGAGTATGAAATGATAGCCTGCAAATGGCCTAATCCATCTGCTTTATATCAACAGTACTGTAAAAATGTCTTAGACAGCCGAGCATGGTGGTGCACGCCTGTAATCCCAGCACTCGTGAGGCTGAGGCAGGAGGATCGTTGCGAGTTCGAGACCAGCCTGGGCTGCAAAGTGAGCTCAAGGCAAGCCTAAACTACATAGCGAGCTAACCCTGTCTCAAAAAGACCAAAAAAAAAAAACAAAAAACAAAAAACAAAAAAAACAAGTCTTAGACAATAATTCATGAAAGTTTAATATATTTTATTTCTATTTTTGTATACTTTTTTTCTCCTATAGCTAAAAGTCTTATTGTGCGTCACATTTTAAAAATAATCATGATAGTGCATTTATGAAAGCTCACCTGTGTCTTTGTTCTAGGCTTGCCAGTTTGTGGGAAGGTGACATCAGCGTTCATTCTTTGACCCTGCCCTCTGCAACCTGCCTGGAGCTGCTGCTCATACTGTCAAGGAGCAATGCCATGCTGCCTCCGTCCTTGCGCCACATGAATTCCTTTCAGGTAACTAATGGCTCCATTAGTACAGCGTGCTTTCTCAGTTCTACTTGTAATTGTTTTTAATAAATCCTGTTTTCCACAAGAGCTAGATAGCCCATGGAAGCACATGGGTTCAGAGGAGAGTAGGAATGATAATGCATGCGTTATGTCTCTTTTCAATCAGTGAACACATGGAGGCTCAGAACTGAGCAGTAGCAGAACCCATAGCTCTCTAACTCCAGGGCTTGGATCTCTCAACCTGCATCTTTTCTGCCTGTGAGAGAACAGGCAAGAAGATTTAGCAAAGATACTTATCTGTACTGCTTGTCTCCTCCCAACTTTGCCCTAGGACAGGGTTGTTCAACCGTGAGGAAGGCTTTGCTACTCTTACCTTAAAGTAAAATTGCCAGTTGAATCTTCAACCTGGATGATGTCCTTCCTGCTCCCAGCACTATTTCCCTGTCTCTTCTCAGCTTTTCTCTCAGAACTCCCCACCCAAGATATTTAATTATACTCCTAGTACAACTTAGTGCTGCCTATATAAACTGACTAACAGGAAGATTCTCTCCCTGTAAACAGCTAATTATCACACGTGGTGGCAAATGAGAATTAAGATGTTAATTAATGCTTTGAGTTGTGGCCCTATAGCTACTGAAGGTAATCGAACACATGTATGACTTCGTGTGTATCTTTTTTGGGGGTAAGTTCTGGGAATTGAACTCCATACTTTGCACTTGCCAGGCAGGCGCTTGTGCCACTGAGCTATATCCCCGGCCCCACATGTATGACTTAGGGCCATAGAAAAATATAAGTACTTAGATGCCGAAGGGAAGACTACATGCATTCCTGAGAAGTTAGGAAACATGGGTTGGGTCTGCCTCTGGGGGGTCACTAGTGTATCCTAAGGTAATTTCAGAGACAGTATATATTATTTGGTGTACCTCTGTTACATGATACAACAAAAGCAGATTTTTTTTATAAGCTGTATCTCAGAAAGTTAAGAAACGACTGCCCCAGTCTCATTTATATCCATATTCTTATGGAAATCTGTTACATTGTCTTCCTGATTTGCTTTTTTTTCTGCGGCTTGTTCACTGGTGCAATATTTGCCCTTGGCCATAGCATTCCTATTTGTTGTTGTTGTTTTTTTTTTTTTTGTTTTGTTTTTTTCTCCGGTACCAGGAACCGAACTCACGACCTTGCGCTTGCCAGGCAGGCGCTTTTGCCGCTGAGCTAAATCCCCAGCCCCTCTATTTGTATTTGTTATTCCCCTGTGGTTGACCAGGGGCCATAAAGAACACTTCCTCATTTGTAGGAGAGGAAACTGAGGTCCAAAGAGTCGGAGGGTGGTGGCCAGGAACGCCTTGTAGGCTAGCGACCGCCTGATCTGCGGTTGTTCCACTTGCAGTGCTGCGTAAGAGTAGAAAGTGGGTGAATATGCAGAGAGGCAGTTGCATATACTGCGTATGTCTGCACACACCTGTTTGCAATAATGTATAATCCTTGTATACTGCTTTGAACTAGAAATGATTTAAAAACCTGCAATATGAATCCACATTTCTTGCAAGTTTTGCTCAGCGGTTTAACATTGAATAACATAAAAGATTATATGTGACCACAAACTTTTATGGAGTGAGATATAAGAAGCTTAGTAGTGATTATTTTGGGGGAGTGAAGGTGGATGACATTTTTTATTTCCCTCCCTCTCTCGTGTACTGTTAGAAATTTTTATACCGTCAATGAGTGAGCGGCAAGAGAAATGACTGATTCCTAGGATTTTGCGGTATATTGGGGGAGATAGAACAGTCTTCTGTGTGTGACATAGATCAAGAATATTTTTTTTTGCATAGTAACCTGACCAGAAGTCATAAAAAGATGAAGGGTAAAAGAAAAATCTAAACCAAGTGTGAGGGATCTGAGAGGAGGACCAGTCTGTATTTCTTCTCCAGGAGAAAAAGGGGGTCTTGTTCTGTTTAAGGGCGTCATCTTGGCACTGTGTAACAAGTGTCTGGTCCCCTGTTGGTGGCATTAGCATGTTCTTATCATTGTTAATCAGAGGAGCTCTGAGAATCGTCTGGGCGTTAATTGCTAAACATCCCTCTCTCCACTTGATCTTAGCCAAAAGGCCGAGAAGCGATAAAACATCCCTCTCTCTTGGTGATTGTGTTTCATATAGTCTGAGTCTGTTCGCTGAATGTTACTGTCAGGAACACATACACTTACCTGATTTCACAAGTACAGAGAAACGTCACAGAATCCTATGAATAGTGTCCCCTGAAGTTCTGTCTGTGCCATTACTCCTGAGAAGATGTATTCTTATCGGGAGCATTCCAGGAGTTGGCTTTTCTCTGTAGATCCTCGCTTCAGATAAAGGATCAGTGACAGTGTGGAAGGTGTCTGTTAGGCTTAGAAGGAGAGACTCTGCCTGTTCATCTTTGTCACATTTACTCAGTCATTTATTATAATGGCAGGGAGTAGGGCCACTAAGTTTGTCCACATTTGAAATCTATTTTTACTTGCTTTCATGCTTATATTTTTACAGTTATTTTGGCAGGACCTGTGAAATATAGAATGACATTGGTTGCAGATACCATCTTTACATTTCCAATCCTCTTACTTTCCAGACCGGGGCAGTCACTGTGCGTAGCACTTCTCTCTTTCTGTAAAACTGTTATTTTAGGGTTCAGATAATACTCCTGCTTGAATTATCACTGCCAAATCCCAAAGGGAAGTGTATATCTTATTAATAAGTGTTATTAACATATATGAAATTCTGCCTCCTTAAATTATGCTGTAACATTTCTCTGTGGTTAATAAATAGTGGATTGGCCAACAGGGTTGTCTTTTGGTGAGTGTCATAATTTTAGCTTCTATTCCGTTTCAGTACCATAATATCCCTAGTGTGATTTTTCAGCAAACAATGTAGGATTTAGTTGAGAACCACTGACATATTGCTAAGCACATATTTACTGTAGTTGTACGGCCGCAAGAACAAGGATGGACTTAACCCTTTCTACATCACTCCCTACTTGAAATTCTGCTGTGGCCTTCTATGGCAATGAGAATAAAATCCAAACTCTCTACGTTGGCCTGAAGTCGGGGAAGCCACTACCCTGCCTCTTCGGACCTCACCTCTCGCGCTTTCCACCTCTCGTTCTGTCTACTCCAGTCACACTGACTGGCCTTTCTTCTCACTCCAGTCCGGAAGCTGGTTCTGGGCATTGCTCTGTGCACTGGGTCTGTCATGCCTGCTTTCTCCTTGTCTTTCAGGTCTGTCCTCTCAGGTATCTCCGCCCCTAAAAGACCTAACTTGACACCCTCACTCCCTTCCCTTTCTCAGTCATCATTACTTTATAATCTCATAGTTTTTTCTTAGTGCTTTCCACTGTTGAAATGATTGTGTTCATGTATTTATTTGTCTTTTTTCTCTACTAAAATGTATGTTGATTGAAAAGGGGGAATGTCTATTTTTGTTCAATATTTTATCACCAAAACTTAGTGCCTGGGTGTAGGAAGTGGTTGTTAAATAGTGGGTTGTAGACGGATGCAAAGTAAAATGCAAACCGGCATAGCCACAGATACTCAAGAAATCTTAAAGGAGGCTTGGAAGTTTACAGATAAATAGCAACAATCCTAAGGAAAGAAACAAAAGCCTTTACACCCTTGTATCTATATACTTTTCTACTACATAAGTGTCCCCATCTGTCTCTGGCTCTTTCCCCTGCTTATCTTCTGGCATGAAGCCAGTCTTCCCAGAGGCTGTCTAGAGCCTCGAGGACTTTATGTGTGAGGGTCCTGTTATTAGTGAGACTGGATGGAGAGGGAAGCTGGAAGCAGGCCCGTGTGTCCAGTAATCAGGGGTGCTGCGGAAGTAATCAGGCAGCAGATGGACCCGCTCAGACATGGGCCGGCGCTTGCCAGAATGCACTGTCTGCGCAGACCTTGTGGTCATCCACGCGAGCATCTCAGGAAGCTGTGAAGGAAGTAACGTTGGCACCTGCAGGCCCGTATGTGTTATCTTTTCGCTTTCCTGCTAAGTCTTTGTCCACTGTGGGCAAAGATAATCAGGAGTTGGGTGCTAGTCTTTATATTTAGGGATCCCAGTCTCAAAGGTAGCGATTACTGCTCTATTTTTAGTCTCTTCTCGAAACAGATTTCTGAGAATTGCCTCAGCAGTTTGGGTGTGAATAATGTCGCTGTCATCCTTCCTTGTTGCTCTCCAGGACATTTTGTGGGCTGAGGAAATAAGCAAGGATTAGCTGAATCCTGTCCTCTTCCCTACTATCCCTTCCTCTGCCTCCTCTCATAGTGGACTCTGCTGTTTCACCATACCCCAGAGAGGGCAGGAAGGACAAAAGGAGGCAGAAAGCGCGAGCCAAGTGGACGTTTAGCTGCCCTTTGTAGCTTCCCAGGTTCCCACCACACACCGTGCTCTGCATCCAGGTGCTGATGTTGCAGGCAAAGCTGGCTGTTACCCAGCCCTTCTGTAGCATCTGATGGGGGAGCTCTGACGGAGGAGCCCTGACCTTGGCCTTGTTGGCGGAAGCAGGAGCGAGGTGTAGCCTACTAATTACGGCTCTTGCTTGTTTTTCATAAATTAACTTTTTCTTCCTGGTCCTCGAAGAAATATATGCTTAGGATAGAAAATGCAGTATATTTTTATCATCAGATAAACAGTATTTCTTTTTCATTTTTAGTTTAAAAATAGGGGATCTTAAAGTCAATTCAGCGGCTTCCTTGCCCATTTCAGTCCGCCTGGCCCCTTGGGCGGGCATGGTCAGTAACGAAGGCCTGATAGCAGGGCCCAGCTCCCTGCAGTCAGCCGTTGTTACCTGGGGCCTCACAGCCCTGTAACTCAGTAGCCATAACTCTGAGATAGGTGTGGGGAGGACTGGAGTGCAGATAGGTTTAATTCCAGGATGACGCGATTACAGTTCAGATTTCTGAGTGACAGCTGGGAGATTCTGATTTGATAACTCTGGAATAAGAGCCCTGGAATCTATAGTATACCAAACAACCAAAGT